TCAGTGTTTCTCAATCTTGTCAACTTGAAGTCCAGACATCTTCAAGTTGACAAGATTGAGAAACACTGATCTACAGAATGAGAGGGTCCTCGGTGCTCTCTGAGCTTGGCTGTTTTCTTCCAGACATCTCATTAGCCAAACTAGGTAACATCATCAGTGCTAGTAAGGAGTGGGGTTTGTTCGCAGTTTAGTAGCTTGCCCTGCCGGTATTGATGGAAGTGTAGTTTTTCTCCTTGTTAGTTCCTCGATTTAAGTTACTGTTTTTGCTTCTTTGTCTGGTGTTAATCCCTGCTTATCTCTGTGTTGATTGCTGGAGAAGTACAAACTACAAGGAGAAACGCTACCCCTCCACCAACAGCAGCAGGGCAAACCACTGTCTATAAACTGAGAGCAAAGCCCACTCTTTACTACTAGCACTGATGACGTTACCTAGTTTGGGTAATGAAATGTCTGCAAGAAAAGACATCCAAGCTCAGAGAGCATCAAGGACCCCCTTCATTTCAACCCAGAACTACAAATACTCTCCTTTATTGATATGCAGGAATCTTTATTTTCCCTTTTGTAATATAGAGATAGAAATTTCAAGTCTTCCAGGTTGGTTGAACGAAAGCAGGGGCCAGCAACGACTCTTTCATCCCTCTGCTGTGGCTCCCTGTCGCTGGTCGGCCCCACAATTGATAGGGCTTTCGGTTAGGACAGGTAGAGGATAAAGGATGCCGCGCTAGGAGGAGACTCTATGGGGAGGGGGGGACCCGGACTTCCGGTCGGCTCCAGAATTGAACGGGGGACTCTCCGGTTAGGACCTTTGTGGCTCTTTGACTGTTTAAGGTTGCCGACCCTTGAACTAAAGCATCCAGCATCTGTCACAAAGCCTGGCTGACTGGGGTTACTTAGAGTTCTGGACCACCTCAGAACAATTTCCACGAGCCATTCACAGAATCAGTTTGGGCCAAATTAAGATCCTTCCCTGTAGCTTTAGCTTTGCATGGTCTTTGGCAGGGTGCCATCTTAGATGACTCCATTCAGTGGTACCAGAAGGCTTTGGGTTGGTTACTCCTGCTTTTCACCATGGGCTGCCATATGTGGGTGATATTTGTGGGCTCGTTGGTACTTTTTGAGCTTAGTTGGTAGCTCCTGAGTTGCTAGTTCCTGAGTTGGCATTATCAACTCAGTAAGCAACAGCTAGTCAAGGAATTGCCAAGAACATTCCCACCAACACTGACCCTTGTATATAAACAGAGAACAAACCCCACTTCCTTTTAGAACTGATAATGTTTGAGTTGAGTTTATTGAGTTTATTGGTCTTGTATGCCGCCCACTCCCGAAGGACTCCAGGCGGCTTACAATAAACAAGGGAAGGGGATAAATAAACAA